AAGGCAAAGTAAGTTAGATAGAGCAGCTGTCATCATGTCATTCCTTACGCGGCTTTTCGTTTGAGAAGTATCTGAGCTTGGGGATAATATTTGATCACATCGTTCAAGTCCTCTTTAGCCAGAACGAAGAGTGTTGCATATCCCTTTGCACGAATAGATGCAGTTCTGCGATTGTTGCCACCGATTGCCAGTAAACTGGAAAATAGAAGCTTGCACTGCAATTAACGTTCGTGGACGTATAGCGTGTTAATCTTTCTCGATATTTGTTATTAAATGTGAAATAAATGGTAAGATTACATCATCCTAGTGTTTTTACAAATAAAAGAAAATAATGTCATTTAGGAGTCAATGTAGGCCGTAACTTATATTTAGAATTTGAAGGAAAACCTGATCTCTCCAAATACAGATCCTTGTGTGAGTTCAGCGAAAACAGTATTGTTGTTCTCTCCTCCAACTACTTGAAGAACACCCTGATTGACAATATACATCTCTTTGCCAACATCACCCTTAAAGTTATGCAATCTTGTGGGAGAATATCGAGCAGATTTGTTTGTTTTTACGGCAGACGCTTTAAGAGCATAGAGTTTGAATGTGTGTTATGTGAGGTGAGGGTAAATTCAGTTGTTTGGGAAAGAAGAAGCTATAAACGAGACCGAGAAAATAACGAGGATTTCTGATGAATACAATTGCCAGGGGAAGGATACTTGGTCGAAGTGGCGATTTGAAATGAGACAAACACCGTCATATATAGGGTTCTAGATCTGCCTTCATGTCTGCGAAGCGATTCTCTGGAAGAAGCTGTAGCGTTTTTCTCTAAAAATGGCTAAGAGGACCTGAATAAAAATGCCCAAAAGTTCAAGCTTGAGGAACAGCACCGCAAAAGCTTGTGTTAATTTCAGAAAAATTTTTTTTTTTTGCAAAAAAAGGATTGTTATTTGTGGTTGGATTTGAAGTAGAACAATTACTTACGAGGCACACAAGCTAAAGCATGGAGAATTCCAAGTTCAGAGAAACGCTTTGCAGATACGGAAGGCAGATGAATCAGCGTATAGAACTACATGCACCAGTTTGCATCCCTTTTTAAAATGCCACTTCGACCAAGTTTCCTTCCATTGTAAGTA